CTGAAGTGTCTTGATCTAGTGAAACATAACAGTAGAACAGTTCTCACAGAGCACTTTTACATGGAGTATTGTGAGTCACGAAGGCAATCACATGATCAGGCTGAATCACAACGTGAAAATGACAACTCGCCGACTTTGATGGGAATAAAATAAACCTTTAAGGCAAGAAGTGTGAAAAAACGCAGCTGACCATGTGACGATTGGTATCAGTTTCGCATTTGATCGGTTGAGAGAGTAACGCAAGCGTGGTCAAGAGAAACAAAAGCGATACATTTAAGTGAGATTTACTCTGTTGAACTTAAAAATGCACTTCATAGTTATATTTAATACCTTTACTACGCTATGATATGTCACATATCAAGAAAAAAAAAAAGGAAAAGATGAAGTAGTTAAATTAAGATAAAAAACAGTCAGATGTACAGTAAATAACAATTATTTACAAGATCCGGTTAGGATAGGGCTTGACGAAATCGTCTTACAAGTGAAATGCAACGTAATACTATGTATTTGAGATGATTAATATATTCATGTTGTGCATGCTAGCTATTGACACTGATTGAATTTTGATATTTATGATGTATAATGAATACTTATATTCCTTGTGTGATTGACTCAGATAAGTCAATACTTTATTTAAAGCATAAATTATTTAAATAAAGCAATCTTAATTAGTTTTTACTAAAGAATTTCGATTGATTTAGATTGAGTCTCACAGCATTCGACTATGTGTGTTCACAGACTTTGTAAAATGACAAATTCAATTGTTTTAAATGGTTGATGCGATTAATATTTGATATTGTCAAACAACTCACTAAGATAACAAATAACAGTTATGACAAACACAAGCAATTGAGCTTTGTCGCTTGCCTTCCACCTCCTTATGCAATGAAGTAAACATTTTTGCATCTAATGTGAATACTGAGGAAAGCTTTTTTTCCAAATACTTCAATTATTCTCTTGCATTTATTAAGAATTAGTCATTACCGCAGCTTTCTCACAAACTGTAAGTCCCTTTTCACCTTCCATAGCAAACCTTTAAATTTGCATTGTTCAGTTTTACATTAATTGAGACCTTCTTATGCTCGTTCACAATATTGAGAAAGCCTTTGTGAATGACTCTGTCTTTAATTTGAAAACAAATTTGAAGAAAAGAGAGCGGGTTCACTGTCGGAGTCTGACATTGAGTCTACTATATGTGCTGTTGATCAGATATCGTTGCCCTTCCGGCTTTGGTGCTTAATGGAATCCTCTTTAAACAAAGTGTACAAGAGGGGATTGACAAGAGAAGTTCCAAATCGCATAAAAAGAAGCAGTATATCGACAGCTTGTGAAAAGTGTAGAACTATATTCTCGTCATGAAAAATCGAGCTACGGAAGTAGGAAAACCAACCTAAAATAAAGGCGGGAGCTGATTGAGCTTAGAGTGGTCACGCCTTTTTTGCGAGCTCCCCTCAAGTTCCGAATATGAGAAAATTCCAAACTGGAATCGGATAAATGACTTCCCTACACAGTGAGCATGCGCAGAGGAAGGGTCTCATCATCCCGCTCAAATGGGAATTTAAAACAAGATGTCAACGTTTTTGAAAGGCTTCGAATTCGGTGAACAATTTATCCCGATTAAAGTGGACGGTCAGCCTAAATTTTATCAAAGATTAGGTTTCCGTAAAGTCGAAATAATTTCCCAAGCTGAGGTAATGACTGATTTGGCAGGGCGGGCTCGGATCAGCGGCATAAGGCCTGTCAGAAAAAGCTAGTCTAACTTCTGGTGAGCGTTCGTGGTATGATTTTCTCATAATTATATAATCATATTTTCATACGGGAACGAAGATGCCTCTCAAATTTGCTTCACTGACAACACGTGGCCTCGTCGCTTAGTTGGTAACAACGCCCAGATGCAGGTTCAAACCTTGGCGACGCCTGAATTTTTACAGGCTTCTTTTCTGAAATGTCCTTTACCGCAGCTACTGCAGCTAATCTACCAAGGTTATTTCTTTATGTTCTTTCATAAGATGTCAAAAGGTGTCAAGGAAAACGGGAAAAAAGATTCCATATAAAGATAATCCATGAATCTAATTGATCACAAGGAGTGATTAAAATCTACATGAACTTCTCGGGGAAAAACCCCAGGAATACTTTCGCAACTCCGGAAAAACTGGATTAGATAATTGTAAATGACATCGTGCAGGGTTACTTCTGAGAGCGGGAAATGTATTTTTAGGCACATGACACGTGTTAAATCACGCGATATGTTGAAATGTAATAAAAAAACCAATTAACAACTAATCAACTGCGGCCCGCAGCAGAAAATTATGTTCAAAAGCCAAATAAGGAAAGGGATAGTGCTAAAACGAAAAAGGTAAGGATAAGGCTGAAAAATAGTATAAAACTGTAATGCTTTATCTAGATAATTTGGGTACGCTTTGAATTTAGAACACAAAGTTACGGACAGGAATCACTTTACAATATATCACGGCTCTCTTTGCTGGTCTGTTCTCGAATGACATTTTGTCTTTTTTTTGGGGGGGGGGTGTCTTTCCTTTCCTTTACTGTCAGTAATTATTGTATAACATTCTTGCTTCGAAATATGGCATGCTTTTTCTCTGTTTTGATACTGATAATTAGAAAAAAAAACTATTGCTGTAGACTATCGAACTTTGCCACTTAGCTGGCTCTTTTCCTTAGCTTTTTAGGTAACATGTAGTCGACTCTCCGTGTTTTCGGTTCGTTATCATCGATGGGAAAATTACACTCAAAGTGACAGACATCAGTTTTATTTTTTTGGTAAGATAGATCATCACCAAGATAAATGAGATTGGTGGGGGGTTTGCTTAGGATGGGATAAATTAGCAAGGATCACATACTGCAACGATAAAAAGCGGCCTCGACTTAACGTTTTGAGATGCACAAATCATGATGTAGCTCTTTTTTTTATCTGGGTGAAGAACAATACCTACTGCTGACCTCCTTTAACCGTTCGAAACCGAATGAGGAAACTAATTGATTTATTCCTTTCTCGAATACTCTTCCTCTAAAGGCGTTGAGTAAATACGATTTATCATAAGCACACTAAATAACGAGTAACAAAGAGCTCACAAATCAGATGTATTTCATTTAGGAGTCTAACATAAAAACATTTCTACGTATTACGAAAATGTGTAATCTCATGTTTCCTTGCAATTTTGTTTATATGCGGAAGAGCAATTATTCTGAGTTATTCGGATTGAGTAATTCTATACTCCGTTATACTTTTCGGAGAGAATCGATGCCTCTGTCATTTGACAAAGGTATAGCAGACATCGACAAAAGACCCAAAAACATAAATTCAAACCCTGAATTTGTTGAAATCTTCAAGATTTCGTAATTATTATAAAGATAGAAAGTAAAGCTTTACAACTTCCCAGAAAGTGACTTCCGTGGTTGTTCGATTTAATTTTAAAATCGCTCCTTGGTAGAATATCTGCATTCTTTTTTCTGGATACATTAATCAGGTAAATCCAGCTATAAATCGAAGATGCAAAGCAAAACCGCACTACTGTCAATTTTTTTTTTTTTTACAAGGCGATTGAAACTCTTGGCTATTTCTCCGTGTTTAGTGAATATGCCACATTATTAAGTTGTTTATTTTTTCACCGTTCTGATGATGCAGAATTATTACTTTCATTCTACTTCGCTGCTCTTAAATCTAATACTTGCCATAGAAAAAGTGAATAAGAATCGATATCAGTGGAGTTTAACGACTTCGGATTGACTTACGTAAAAATAATTTCCATGGCTTGCTACATAATTAATTAAACCATGTGATAGTTACAGTGCCCTTTCACCTGGAAGTAGCTTGTCCATTGCCGTCGAATGCCTTATGACCAAATTAGATCTACCAAGTTAATTTGTTTACTTCACCGGAAAGTCCCTTTTTTAGGTAGCATGAAAAATTACTTTTAAACTTACAGGAAAGGGAACAGCCCCGAAAACAGGTTCGAAATCACCACTATATAAATGACAATTTGTAAAGAAAGGTCCACACTTTTTCTGGCCCAAAGTATGCTTTTATTAACCCATATTCTAAGTAACTGTAATCCACTAACCGAGGAATTAACGAGTGATCCGAAAGAACCTGATTTAAAATCACTAAAGAAGAAAATGTAGTTTTTAAACGCAGGTCTATCCACAGCTACATTTCGGGCAATTGTACTTGTACGATTGTATTCACTTTAACTCGCGTTGCCTTTTCGTAAACAACGTAAACGTCTCGATTTCAACAAAGTGTTACAGTTTATTTTTGACCATTTGAAGTACTTAAACATTTCAAAAAGCATGTTTAGACACTATAGAGAAGTGTTTTGACCACATACTGACTTCGTACGTTCCTCTTTTTATTGACAATTTTTCTTCAACTTTGTACTTCTTCATCATCTTCGAGCAAAATATTTTGAAAGGAGCCCCATCTTCCTTGCTTTAAATTTCAATCTCTCAAACGTGTCTTCTTGCTTTTTTGTTGCAAAATTCAGCGCTGTCAAGTTTATATCCTCGCTCCTGGCAAAGCTGTCTATTGAACTCAAATACTCAAATACGGGCAAGCATGCCTGGCCCGTGAGTGGGCTGGTCACGACGTTCTCAGTTTCGAGAGTTCTTAAAGATACCATTGAGTTTTTTTTTTTTTTTCTGAGCGATACAGTAGTGGTTTAATTTAATTGCGTAAGTTAGATTGATCATTTCTCATAGACAACGAGATGCATTCGCATCAGCCTTCGAGCAACTAAGGAACTGGACTTTCACTTTCGAAAGTTCGATTTGCAAATTCTTAAAGATACTCTTAAGTTTTTTATGTTTTTTTTTTTTTGTAAGTCTGAACGATATACTAGTGGTTTAATTTAATTGCGTAAGGTTAGATTGATCATTTCTCATAGTCAACGAGATGCATTCCCATCAGCCCAAATCAATCAATTCTTCAATTTTCATCCATTTTTTTCTCTTAATCTGTGCATTGTCGATATTTTTTTTAGGTCTTGCTTGTCCTACCCTGTCTGTTATTTTCGACGATTAGTGCGGAAGACATATCTCCCGAGAAAGAAAAAACCATATTGAAGGCGTTTAAAAGACAGGGCAGAGCCGATCTCCTTAAAGCTGAGCGGAACGGGGAAGACAGAGCTTTTAAACTTTCCTTTACTGGAAACATAACAGGACCCAAAACAGGTGAGTATTTATAGTTAATTGAAGCGGTCAATCACTCCCAACAGGAAGTCAATCAGCGATTGTAAGAATGGAAAGAAAGCAGCTCTGTCTTTAGAGGATAGATCATAGTATTAGCTTTAGTGAATCCTCTTTTCAATGCAGTGCTTCTCACCTTTCACAGTGCCATATTGAAAACACTCTTGGCCAAGAAAAAGTTGTGTTAAAATTTTTGTTATAAAAAGCTAAGTTCAATGTATGTTACTACATACGAAATGTCAATGGATTAAGCGCCTCCCATGAATTAATTATCACTCTGTATATCTATTTCCAGGAACAGAATTCTTATTCAAAAAATACGTCAATGGTTCTTCCGGTCATTTTACCATTCACCCCGCCGATTGGCCAGAGTATTTACTGGCTGTTGATGGACGAAAGTTGGTTATAAAGGTTAGCGCAGTTTTAAAGACATCAGTCAGATTAGCATCTCTTATGTAAAAGTAAAGTAGTTTTGAATGTAAAGTATGAAACAAAAAACGTCTCAATATGCATGGATGCGGACTGATAAAATTGCCATTCTAAATAGCAGACTCGGCGAAAACCTTGCACAGAAAGATGTTCAAAGATCGCAGTTATCTTGTTTGCTTTTTTTTGTTGCTATTAACTTTTTTCCCGAAACAGCGCACTGAACAACCTGAGCATTTCAATTGTCCGTCCGCTGCTTCTTGGATGAAACTCCTACGCTCTGATTGCTCCATTTAAAAACAATATAGTCCTTCCTGCACTCTGATTGGTTATCGACTATATCGAGTTCCTTAACCACAGAGCCATAAGTAATGTAACAGTTTAGGGATATATCTGAATGTAGTGCCATAAAGTTACCCTTCTCTTGCTCTTTATCGGCAGAAACCACACAATTCTACGACGGAACTGATGGAAAAAAACTATAAGTTTTCGCTGACGGAATTCCACTGGACATATACTGATAATGAAAATAACAAAGAGGTGGAACGTGTCCTAACAGTAATAGTCTCCAAAGCCAGTGGCCTCGCGATTAAAAGTGCTAGGGATGGTCGCGTCCTTTTGAGCTCTAACTGGATGGACTGTGGAACATGGCTCTCTCTTTAAGCGTGTGAAAAAACACGCCTAGCACGTGACGATTGGTATCAGTTTCGCATATGATTGGTTGAGAGAGTAGCGCGAGCGTGGTGAAGAGAGACAAAAGCGATATACTTATATAAGATTTATTCTGTTGAACTTAAAATCGCAATTTATAGCTATATTTAATACCTTTACTACGCTATGATATGTCACATATCAAGAAAAAATAGAAGGAAAAGATAAGGAAGTTAAATTAAGATAAAAAAGAGTCACATGTACAGTAAATAACAATTATTTACAAGATCGTCTTACAAGTGACTGCAACGTAATACTATGTATTTGAGATGATTAACATATTCATGTTGTGCATGCTATCGACATTGATTGAATTTTGATATTTATGATGTATAATGAATACTTATATTCCTTGTATGATTGACTCAGATGAGTCAGTACTGTGTTTATTTAAAGCATAAATTACTATGATTTAAATAAAGCAAACTTAGTTTCTACGAGAGAATTTTTATTGATTTAGTCTGAGTCTCACAGCATTCGATTGTGTGTGTTCACAGACTTTGCAAAATGAAAAATTCAATTGTTTTAAATGGTTTTAGCGGTTAATATTTGGTAGTGTCAAACAACTCACTAAGATAACAACAGTTATGTCATGCAAGCACAAGCAATTGAGCTTTGTCGCTTGCCTTCTACCTGCTTATATAATGAAGTGAAAATTTTGCATTTGATTTGAATACTGAGGAGAGCATTTTTCCAAATACGGCAATTATTCTCTTGCATTTATTAAAAATTATCCATTACTGCAGCTTTCTCACAAACTGTAAATCCTTTTTTTTCCTTCTTTACCAAGACCTTCAAGTCTGCCGTTTTGATTATTGTGTTTTGGCCAGCTATTTTGTACATTGTCTAGTTTTACATCAATTGAGATCTTCTTATACACATTCACAATAATGAGGAAGCCTTTGTGAATTACTCTGTTTTAAAACCAGATGTCAACGTTTTAGAAAGGCTTCGTTTTCGGTGAACAATTTATCCGGATTAGAGCGGACTGTCAGGTTAGCTTTAATTTGATACTGATAATTCGAAAAAAAATTATTGCTCAAGACTATCGAGCAAAAAACTTGATAAATCACTTGGCCACTTAGCTGGCTCTTTGCCTTCGCTTTTTGGGTTACACATAGTTGATTCTCCGTGTTTTCGGTTCGCTATCACGGATGCGAAAATTACATTCAAAGTGAGAGACATCATTTTTTTTTTTTCAGTAAGATAAATCATCGCCAAAATAAATGAAAATGGGGCGGCATTTGTTAAGGACGGGAACAAATTAGCAAGGATTACATACTGCAACGATAAGAAGCGCCCTAGACTTACGTTTTGAGATATACAAATCATGATGGAGCCTTTTTTTATCTGGATGAAGAACAATGCGTTCTGACATCCTTAAACCGTTCGAAACCGGATGGGAAACTAATTAATTTGTTCCTTTCTTGAACACTCTTCCTCTAAAGGCCTTGAGTAAACACGATTTAAACCATCATGAGCACATTAAATAACGAGCAATGAAGAGCTCACAGATAAAGTGTATTTGATTTAGGAGTCTAACACAAAAAATTTAAGAAGATAATTCTACGTGTTACGAAAATTGTGTAATCTCATGTTTCCTTGCAATTTTGTTTATACGCGGAAGAGCAGTGTTTCTTAGTTATTGATTGAGTAAATCTACACTGCCCTATATTTTTCAGAGAGAGAATCAACGCCTCTGTCATTTGACGAAGGTATTGCAGATATATTATACGCTCAGACACCAACTGAAAGCCCAAAAACAAAAAGTTAAACCTTTAATTCCCGTTTTCAAGATTTTATAATTATTATTATATAGAGCTAGAAAGTAAAACTTTACAATTTCCCAGAAAGTGACTAACGTGGTGGACGTAAGATATAAGGTTGTTCGATGAATTTTAAAATCACCCCTGATAAAATATCTGCGTCCTTTTTTTTAGATACATTCATCAGACATAAATCAAAAATGCAAACCAAAAGTGCATTACTGACAAATTTTTATTCAGCAACTAAATTGTGAGTTGGAAGCCTCGATATTTTATGTTCAAATTCTTCAGATGGAAAGAAGTTTCGCTTTCCTTGGTCCATACGACACAATTCTAAAGAATAGTAGGTCTTTTAGAGAACCTAATTTAATCAAAGACGCATCATTGCCAGAAATCAAGGACATTTCGAGCCCGCTAACAATTATCAGCGGTATATCGTATAACACTCCAACAATAGAATATCAATAGAATTCAATGTGGCGGCGATCAGGGCTCGATCTGCAAAGAAGAGTGTTTCGTACCATAACTTACACAATTTGAGCACCGCAGATCTTCTATTTGATGAAAAGAAAATGGAAAGAAGACCTGCAAGTAAATCTTTGAGATTTTTCGAGGCAGAGCGATGACATAATGTCAGAATTTTGATTTGCTTTTATTAAATTTTCGCGCCAAGACTACTGAATTTGCATTCAACGCTAGGCATATTTTTATTCCGAAAAGGACCTGAGAACTAATTTATTTCCCAGCAAAAACATAAACAAATATGGCCGACGATTCGAAGATCGACATTGCTCGTGTTTAACCATTTCAGTCATAGTTTTCAACATGGCGTCTCGTCACTTACTCAACATGGAAAATAAGGGATATTCTGGCGCGTTGGGAAGTTTTGTGATGGGAACAAATGACAATTTTACAGGATATTTGGACGCTTCGAACTCAGTAGCAGTCAATTCGATCGAGAGCAGTTGACTTCATTGATGCACTTTCCTGTAATAGGCGAGTGTTTGGGATGGGGAACGACGGATTGTGAAGAACTGTATGGTGACCTAGGTCAATGATCAATGACAAAAGAACTGGCTCGGGAAGTAAGTGGTTTTATTTATCGAGTCACTGTGAGGTTTGATGAATAGCAGAATCAGTACTTAATATGTCTCGATCGAGAGCAGACGGGACCATGAGCTCCTTATTGTTAAATTTTTTAAATTTTACAAATTTCCATGCAGTTTCTTATATTATTTGGACGCCACTATGGACGAAATGCACAAGCGCGCCCGCCATCTTGTTCAATATTTCTGCCAATGGAAAAGCATTTGTTTTAAATTTTCCTTAAAGAAAGTAAAACAGTTCCTGAATCTAGTGAGTTCCTTACCTCGGCGAACTGTGGGAGAATGAATGAATTTTCCAAAAATAGATGTTTTGTAATACTCAGTATTTCTAGTATTCCACTCTGTATGTTTGAGGTATATACATACTTGCCGTTTAGCTCACTCTATTTACTGATGGCAAATGAAAGTTATTTTGTCATAAATGAAAACAAAGCATTGGAGCATTTAACCGTTTAAAAAAAATTCCAATTTCACAATTTTTACAGGACAAACGATTATATGTTCCAGAACCTCCCTCTTAAACAAAGAAGTAAGATTGTTTTTCTTTTCAAGATGATTGGAACTCTCGGCTTTTTCCCCGTGTTTAGTAAATATGCTACATTACTCAGATTATGTTAACCTAAATTGATCATTTAAAAACATTTATTCTTTCACGGTTCGATGATGCAGTATCATTAAATTAATTTTACTTCGCTGCTCCTAATTCTAATTATTGACATAGCAAAAGTAAATAACAATCGATTTTAACGGCTTCAGTTTAACTTATATAAAATATTTTCCTTGGTTTGCTACTTAATTATATAAACAATGTGATAGTAACAGTGCCCTTTCACCTGGAAGTAGCTTGCTCAAAGACGTCGAATATCTCGTGACCAAATTAGATCCACCACGTGAATTTGTTTACATCACCGGAAAGTCCTTTTTTCAAATAGTATTAAAATAACTCCAAAACCACATTCTTAAGGACGCTTTTAATTAAAATTCAATTAAAAATGAAACTCGTCGTCAAAATTAAAGTTTTTAAAAAGATACGTACACGTAACTGATGCAAGTCGTCGCTTAGGTTTAATTGGTTCTTGATTAAATCTACTGTCAGGACAAGGCCGGAAAATATGGCGTTAAAGCACTATTGTGTTTCTCCGACGCTGAATGGAAAGTTCCCTTACGTCGAAAAGACGGAGGTTCTTTTTATTTCTGAGTCGTTAACATCTATCTTAAAAACTTACAGGAAAGGGAACAGCCCAGGAAACAGTTTCGAAATCACTAGCCATTATAAATGGCAATGCTTTACGGATGACAAACAAACTTAGTTGATAGCTCACGGTGTAAAATGGCCGTCGCAAAACTACTGGTAAGTCAACGTTTTTCAATGGCGTCGTAAATCGTCAATCACTTGACTTTTCGCAGTGTTACGATTCTTTCTTTAGTTCTTCGCAATCGGTTATTTATAATGAAATGTCCACACTTTTTCTGGCCCGAAGTATGCTTTTATTAACCCATATTCTAAATAACTGTAATCCACTAACCCTAAGAGATTAACGAGTGATCCAAAAGAACTTGATTTAGAATCACTAAAGAAAATAATGTTAAATGAACTCAGAAGTTTTCTAAACGACAATTGTACTTGGTTCTAACTCGTGTTGCCTTTTCGTAAACAACGTAAACGTCTCGATTCCATCAAAGTGTTGCAGTTTATAGAGAAGTGTTTTGGCCACATATTTTTTTTTTTTATTGATAATTTTTTTTCGCCATTTTCGGGGAGAAATTTTGGAAGGAGCTCAGTCTTCAAATTTCATTCTCCCAAACGCGTCTTTTGCTTTTTGTCGCAAAACTCAGTTTTCAGGTTTATATTCTCGCTCCTGGCAACTGTCTATTGAACTCAAATAAAGCATGCCTTGCCCGTGCGATTTCGAGATATTTACAATTCTTAGACACTCTTGTGGTTTTTTTTTTGCAATCCTTTGTTTTTTTTTAGCAAATTGAGCGATATACTGGTGGTTTAATTCAATTGATTAGATCGATCATTTCTCATAGTCAACGAGATGCATTCGCATCAGCCTTCGTGATCATCAGACCAGATCAATCAATTCTTCAATTTTCATCCATATTTTTCTCTTAATCTGTGCATTGCTTAAATAAACGGTGGGTTTGTTCTACCACTCTTTGGTTAAAAAACTTGGATTTGAACAGCTTGCAGACCTCCACTCTACCATAAGGTTAATCAACTCTAATCACATGTTATTCTATTTACTTCCTCTATTTTTTTCTTTTCAATACTTTTAGGTCTTGCTTGTCCTACCCTGTATGTTATTTTCGACGTGCAGTGCTGAATACAGAATCACCCAGAACACAAGACACACAATAAAAGCTTTTAGGAGACAGGGCAGGGCCAATCTCCTCAAAGCTGAGCAGAACGGGGAAGACGGAGCTTTTAAACTTTCCTTTACTGGAAACATAACAGGCCCCAGAACAGGTGAGTATTTATTGTTAATTGAAGCGATCAATTATTCCTAACAGGAAGCCAATGAAATTATCAATACCTGAAATAAAACTGATCGTCGAAAAGTAAGTTCAGTCTCTATTGATGTGCAATTATCAAACATGTGCTATGGCTTTAAATAGCAACACCCCATGTCAAAGGAGAGCGGAACTAACATTAATAACTGAGGATGTCCCACTTTAGCTGAGCGTTGTCTCATTCAATCTTTTCCTTCTCCCTTCCCATACTTTTTCTTTTTGCCTTTGATATACCATCAATCAAAATCGGATGGGGGTGGAGGAAAGCAGGGAGTCGCCCTCTAATGAAGGTGCTATCAACAATTGTGAGGAACAAGCATGTAGTTCTGTCTTGAGAGGATAGATATTAGCTTTGGTGAATCCTCTTTTCAATACAGTGCTTCTCACCTTTCAAGCTTTGTTAAAATTTCTGTCATAAAAAGCTAGATTCAAAGCTATTCTCGACAGAACTGAGACTAAATGTATGTAACAACATCTGAAATGTCAATGAATTAAGAGCCGCTCCTGCTCTGAATTAATTATCACTCTGTATATCTATTTCCAGGCACAGAATTCGTCTTCAAAACATACTTCAAAGGTTCGTCTTTCAGTCATTACGCAATTCACCCAGCCGATTGGCCAGAGTATTTACTGGCTGTTGATGGACGAAGTTTGGTCGTAAAGGTTAGTGCAGCTTGAAAGGCAACAGTCAGATTAGCATCTCTAATGTAAAAATAAACTAGTTTTGACTGTAAAGTATGAAACAAAATACGTCTCAAAATGGATGCGAACTGAAAAAATTACCATGCTAAATAGCGGACTCAGTGCAAACCCTTACACAGAAAGATGTTCAAAGAGCGCAATTATGCTATTTGCTTTTTGTTGTTTGTGTTATACTTTTTCGGAAACAGCGCACTTAACAACCTAAGCATTTTAATTTTCCGTCCGCTGCTTCTTGGATGAAACTCCTACGCTCTGATTGCTTCATTTAAAAACAATATAGTATTTCCCGCATTCTGATTGCTTATGGACTATATCAAGCTCCTTTACCACTGAGCTATGAGTGATGTAACAAGCTAGGGATACAGTGGAATGTAGTGCCAAAGAGTTACCCTTCTCTTGCTCTTTATCGGCAGAGACCACACAATTCAACAACGGAACTGACGGGAAAGAACTATGGGTTTTTGATGAAGGATCTTGAGTTCAAATATTATGATAATGAACAGAACAAAGACGTGGAACATGGTCTGACAGTAATAGTCTCCAAAGCCAGTCGCCTCCCGATTGAAAGTACTACGGATGGTCGCGTCCTTTTAGGCTCTAACTGGATGGACTTCAGAACATGGCTCTCTCTTTAAGCGCTCATTAATTAATTATTTCAGTGGGAATTTCTCCGATTGATAAACAAATACATTTGTAATTATATAGTTTTACGTTGATTCACTTGGCCCGCTCCGAGCAAATTTATTTTAAAAAAGTACTGAAGTGTCTTGATCTAGTGAAACATAACGGTAGAAAAGTTCTCACAGAGCACTTTTACATGGAGTATTGTGAGTCACGAAAGCAATCAAAGCATAGGGCTGAATAACAAGGAGAAAATGAGAACTCGCCGAATATGATGGGAATAAAATAAACCTTTAAGGCATGAAGTGTGAACAACGCAAGTGACCATGTGACGATTGGTATCAGTTTCGCATTTGATTGGTTGAGAGAGTAACGCGAGCGTGGTGAAGAGAAACAAAAGCGACACACTTAAATGAGATTTACTCTGTTGAACTTAAAAACGCCCTTCATAGTTATATTTAATACCTTTACTACGCTATGATATGTCACATATAGAGAAAAAAAAGAAGGAAAAGATATGGAAGTTAAATTAAAATAAAAACAGTAAGATTCACAGTAAATAACAATTATTCACAAGATCCGGTTAGGATAGGACTTGACGAAATCGTCTTACAAGTGAAATGCAACATAATACTATGTTTTTGAGATGATTAATAAATTCATGTTGTGCATGCTATCGACAATGATTGAGTTTTGATATTTATGATGTATAATGAATACTTATATTCCTTGTATGATTGACTAAGATAAGTCATTACTGTGGTTATTTAAAGCATAAATTATTTAAATAAAGCAACCTTAGTTTTTACGAGAGAATTTTGACTGATTTAGATTGAGTCTCACAGCATTCGACGGTGTGTGTATTCACAGACTTTGCAAAATGACAAACTCAATTGTTTTAAATGGTTTTAGCGGTTAATATTTGGTATTGTCAAACAACTCACTAAGATAACAAATAACAGTTATGTCATGCAAACACAAGCAATTGAGCTTTGACGCTTGCCTTCTACCTTCTTATGCAATGAAGTGAAAATTTTGCATTTGATTTGAATACTGAGGAGAGCATTTTTCCTAAATACTTCAATTATTCTCTTGCATTTATTAAGAATTATTCATTACTGCAGCTTTCTCACATACTGGAAGCCCCTTTTTTCCTTCTATACCAAGACCTTCAAATCTGCCATTTTTATTATTGCGTTTTGGCCTTTACATTATTTAGTTTTAAATTAATTTAGACCTTCTTACGTACATTCACAATAATGAGGAAGCCTTTGTGAATTACTCTGTTTTAAATTTGGAAACGAATTTGAAGAAAAGAGAGCGGGTTCACCGTCGGAGTCTAACACTGAGTCTACCACATTTGCTGTTAATCAGATGTCGTTGCCCTACCGGCTTTGGTGCTCAATGGAATTTGGTTCAAATGATTTTGTTCATCTCTAAAAACGAACAACCTTAAAACACTTCTAAAATCCTCTTTAAACAAAGTGTACAAGAGGGGATTGACAAGGGAAGTTCCAAATCGCATGAAAAGAAGCAATATATTGACGGCCGGTGGAAAGTGTGCCACTATATTCTCGTCATGGAAAATCGAGCTAAGGAAGTACGAAAACCAACCAAAAATGAAGGCGAGAATCATTGAGGCTAGAATGGTCACGGCACGTTTTTGTCCCCGCTTTTGCTGAGCACCTCTCGAGTTCCGAATATGAGACAATTGTCGTCGAATTTTTCGTAGTTGACCGCGCAGCACCAAGAAAATGCGTCCATAAGCGGCCGCGAGGAGTAATAAGGGAAGAGCGACAAGGCCCACAAAGCAGCTGTAGCTGTAAATAACATCACTGTAAAGTTCATTTGGTGTTTGAGTTGACCCAAGGCTGATCCAAATCAGTTGTATAAGCGAGACAGCTAAAGAGAAGGTCCAAACAAACATCATCAAGGCCCCTATTCGTTGTTTGCTCACGATTCTGTAATATCTCATGGGGTAGATAATCATCACGTATCGTTCAAACGTCACGACGAGAAGATGTAATATTGTCGAGATGGCTATGAACCTGGAGGCCAGATCCATAGCAATACAGAAGCGCAATCCGTCTGAAACGGTGAGGTTGCAGGCAAATATCAAAGGAATGGCGACAAGCCCTGAGAGTAGATCAGACAGTGCTAAGCAAGCTAAGCATAAGTTTGTCACTGTTTGGAGTTGCTTATTTCTGCTCACCAAAACGATCACTAGAGAATTTACAATGACTATGAGGCATGAAAGAAAGCCTAACAGTATGAGAGGGAGATAATTTTCATTTAACGTTGGCATAACCTGCGTGCTGTTTCTTTCTTGAGTTGCGTTTTCACTTAGGTTGTTGAAGAGAAGTTTAAAAGTCATAGCGTTGTTATCTCTTTGACTATTTGGCTCTGTTTCCTGTGTCTTGAGGCGGTCTTTCCAAACAAAAGCCAGATGTTACCAAACTAATTTAAATTGACTCGACGAAATTCACTCGACGAAAACTTGACCAAAGACAATCACTGGTTTTTCCGTCAGAAGTCGATCAACTATTTCGAGGGATTTGTGTCATTCCTGCTTAAAAGAGTGAGAAAAGAGAGCGAGAGATAAGTAATCAACGTTCTGCTTTGAGGCAGATTTACATAACGTTTCAAATGGCTGACAAAGGTAATTCATTAAAACAATCTTACGCCCCCATACACAACAGCAAAATATGTTTTGTGTTAAACGAAGTCGGCGATAAATACTAAATTTTTCATAGGAGTTTAAACATCAGTTTAAGTAACTTCGACGAAAAAAAAAACTCTTTAAAACCGTGTTTGGAAAAACTGCTTCAAATGTGTTTTAGATTTGGTGTGAAAGGGGAAAGTAGTACTGCAATTACCACACATTTTACTGCTTTGCAAAATTTGCAATCAATCTGAAATTTCTGGAAATAGACTTCTGCAATCAAAAACTGTTATAGCATAAGCCAGATTAGTCGATATTTGTGAAATCACGTACATGCAAAACTTTTTGCATGTTAATTGTTGAGTGCCGGTAAGTCAATCCAAACAGCGAGGGCAGCTCAAATTAAGTGCAAAAAATATTGAACATGACTTCGGAAGTAAGCCAAATTTCGAGTGCAGTTTGAGAGAAACAGGCATATATCATTTTTCGAAGACTACAAAATTTGCACTCTCCTCAAGGGCTCTAAGGGGCTAGGCCACACTTGAAGCTTGTGCAGCAAGTTCTTCCAGTTTGACCTCTTATGGGCATCAAATCGCCAATGTCTTCAGTAGAAATAAAAAAGAAGCAGAGCGCTTTGTTGTAAAAGCCGACAATCACGAGGTGTTTTGGTCATGTATCGTTGAGAAACGATGAAACGAGGTCATTATGACTCAATATGTAGAAAAGTTTTGCCCCACTTTTTTACTGTGATTGATGAAGCCTTCTTCTGAACGTTATATTCAGCCTCTCCAGGGTAAGAACAAGAAAATGGGCTGACTCTCACGCACTTTATCGGCAAATCGATAGTTTTATTCATATTGGCAATCCAGAGAAGACAGCTTCATTTATACAGTAATCCTTGGAAAAATTAATTCTTATGGTCAGTGCATAAAATAAAAAATCATTTACAAGAGAACCACCTTGGGAGTTCGATGCCGTTTCCAATACGTTGAATCCTGTACGCTTTAAAGATAAAACTGGCCAGACCAGCGAAGAATTCAAACACATCGCTCTTGAAGTGATATACTTCAATAACACTTGCATCCTGTAAAAAATGACCGAGAAAATTTAAACCCTCTCCCGCTGTCAACATCCCAGAATTGAGTGGGATTGTAAGAAACTCGACGGCAGTTACTTCAAACGGCTGTTGGTGCCGCTATTTTCTACGTTCTATATGCGCACGCGCCAGAGGTGAGTTAGCCTCTCAAAGGTTACACTATGATCGCAGGCTCTTTTTGAAAGAAATTTGCACGTGCGCTATCTTATGTGGAAACCACCAGAAGCAATATATCAACGAATAGGTTATTAAATGCAGAATTCGAGTAAGTTCTGAGCTATTTGGATATCTCCTCTTCCTAGGCTAAGAAACCCGGTAAACACAAAAATTACCGAATTCCATTCCGTTGAATTGGTCGGTTATCGAACGTGATCTCTGATGATGTCAATCACAAAAGATCAGTCTCTCAAAGATTTTTCCGTATTGCAGTTGGTTTTCCGTTTGAAAATACCTATCGAATTAGAATATTAAAAGATTTGCCAACAGGTCACTTTCCGAGGCCGCCACGATGAAAGTGTTTGATTTAAAAAAAGAAAAAGCCGACACTCTTTTGTTTCTCGTTGTTCAGTCAACGTTCTTATCAACTTTCACCGAGTTCCATCAGTTCTTCCAAACATCTCACGCCTTTTCGGGAAATTAAGTCGCACCAGTCATACGCTGTAAGAGGCTTGCAAATGATATAGTTGAACCCCTGACGTTCAAAACAGGCATGATAGCGCTTCACGGGAAAGTGGTAGTTTTCCGGACACGTTTTTCGTAAGTAGCTTCAACGATTTCATTCTCGGTCAGCGCTTATGGGTAAAACTAGGAGAAAAACATTTACTCTGAAAATCTTTAAAGGTTGGGAAAACTACGACACCTTTTCGATTTCCGCATGATAACTTAAGTTTGGACTGGAAAATTTATATGTTTTGCGCTTTTTTCCTTGGCTTAGCTTTGGTTTAGAACTAAGGGCTGGGCTTTTTCTCCTTTTTAATGTTTCATGATGAGGAATTGGCTCAACTACTTTCTAAAAAGACAGCACTCAAATACGAGTTCAAAAAAGGTTCAGTTGAATGAGTAATCTTCCGATGGCGATGTTTGCCGCCGAACGGGTCGCAAAGGAGCTCGAGTTCACGCCTGACGGAGATTATAACACCTTGATAGTTAATTAACTTTTATACAAAATACTTCTCTACCTCGATAACTCACGCGCGATTTTATCTCGATGTTTTCGGAAAATGTGAGTTTAATTTATCAACTCTAATTGACTGGCCTAGGTTAAGTTGACTGGCCTAGGTTAAGAGTAAATGTTGTAATACTCAAAAATTATTTGTGTTAGAGGTTATTACAGTGAGTTTTCCCAAATATCATTCTTGAGAAGTGTTCGAACAGGCGTCAATATATTTTGATTTAGGATCAACGCTCAGCTTTGGTAATACTTCCATTCAAATGGCCCAAAAAACGCCAATTTATGACGCGAGTGCGATTATTTGTAAAACAAATGTAACACTATTGGTGAGAAACCGATCGTTCATTGAACCGGTAAACTCAAAGAAAGTTGAAACATTCTGTAAACCGATAGAAAGTACGGCCTATTGCTTTAATAGAAAATGTAAATAAGTGAAACATTCCTAATGATATAAAACAGTTGATTAAATCATATCTGTCCTCAGAAAGGTAACGGATATATACTGTTTTAACCAGACAAATATAAAGAATAATTATTGCAATTGTTTATCCCACTATTACGCCTTCTCGGCAATGGAAAGCGCAAAATATGCCACGGTATTACGCTGTAGAACAGAGAAAATACAGACAGAAGGCGGAGCAAAATAACGGCTGCACTTAACGATCCAAACTTTTATGTTGCTTTCAGTTTTTTAGGCATAACTTTTTCGTTATTGTGTCCATAAGATCTTTTGCGGTCATCAAGAACACTTAAACGTTTTCGGCTTATGAGATCGATACAGTGCTCAAATAAGGGCGTACTAAGTTTCGAAAACTAACAGCCAAAATTCTAGTACATAAAAAAAAAATATATGGAATATTTAATCAATTATTCGATTATTTAACATAATGAGAGATTTCGTTGAAACTCGCGTTTTTTTTGTTTACCTAATTAGCAGGTTGGGTGCGTGCTACACTTTTCGCAATTTGAATTTTGCATGCGTTTTAGACAAGGTCGTTTAGTTCTTTTCCACGGTAATAAGCAAGTCAAACTGGTAAAGTACTTTCTGAAATATGTTTCAACAGTTGAATTTCACGTCTTTGAACAATGTCTTCGAACGTTATTTTGGCAGTTCAGTTCTGACCCACCAGCGTTAACGTCGTTCGGTTTAATTGTTCATCAAACAGTCTCAGAATTTAGGGTGTGAAAATCCCAATCAATATTCTTACTGATTCTGACACTATTTTTGTTTTTAGATAAATTTTTATCACGATTATGGTATGCAACAGACAGCAAGTCCCCAGGAATAACTAATTTAACCTTAAAAATTTTAGCAACTCCATCTAAAAGATTCTGATGAAAAATCAACTAATTTGACACTTTCGCTGAAACAACCTCCTTGACACTGTCTAGGGTCTGTCTAACTTTTCATGTGTTTCTAATATGAAATAATTGAAAATAATTTTAGTTTATTTTGGCGCATTAAACAGTAACAAATAAAACTAGTTGAAGTAAAAAAAAAGTACTTCCACGCACTTCCATAATAACATACAAATATGTAACTAGCAACAAATTTTATTTGAAAATCAGGATCTAAATCCTTTCTACTCGGCGATAGAGGCCTGGTTCATAATAAAGCAAGTTTAACTGCGGACATTGAAGCTTTCCTGTCATAGCTTCGTCGAATTTCTACAAAAACACTCACTTTCATTGCAATCGTGCTTAAAATGGAGGAATCCAACTAGTGACGAAAAACATTTAGTTCATTCGCCATGCGCTTGATCTTGCAAATCTTAATTTTCATCACTCGCTGACGATACAGATTTTGAGAATTATGCTTGATAAATAATGCAAGTTGCAAAACTGCTATGAAAACCATTATGAATTTCTGCCCTGATAACTTAAGAGTAAATGTCAATAAAAATCACAGATTATCGAAAAAGTCGCGGACACGGTCAAAAATCGATTTGGTTCATTTTTTGCCTGTGGGTAGCCTTATCTAGTAAACAAACGGAAATGGGGTTAGATTTTTGAAATATGCTCTTTAACGGGAATAATTTGTTTTAACATTTCCGGGGGTAAATAGCTCAAATTTCACCAAGCGCGATCCTGAAATTATGCACTTTTCGGGCACTTGTCATGCTAACAAAAATGTAACGGAAGGACTTTTCTAGTCATAGAAATATTGAGTTGGACTTGCATTATCGAGACAAAGTGGTAGTTTTTGTCTCATGTTATTCTTAGAGAAGCTACGTCCCTATTAAGAGACGACATCTTCGGCCTTTCGAAATTAAGGCAAAGGTGGCCTAGAATAGCTTGGCAAAAATACATGTGGTAGTGTCTCAAAGTTTACAATAACACTACCAAGAAGCCTTGAAAGATAGTTCTTTACGATGTGGGTTTTATTTCTTTGGGACCTTTGACTATCAA